CCCCGACTCGTGTGTCCCGCCCCCCTTCCCAGGGTCGCCCCGCGGGCCGCTGGACCCCCAATGCCGCCTCCGCTCGACTTCCCTGCACCGTCCCCTGGCCCTCCGCCCTTCTTGGACCCGCCTGCGCTTCTGCGCCGTCACCAGCCCCTCCCTCATCCCCTGCAGGTCCGCGCCCTGCCTCGGGCCCCATTGGTGCCTACCCCCGCCAACAGATCCCGTGCCGACGGCCCCCTGCCACTCCCTGGTTCCAGCAGCTTGCCCTCGACGCCCAGATGTGGGCCAGCGGGCTCTCGGACCGCGACCGCTGGTCTGGCAAGGTCCGCGTTTCTTGGCTGCGTTTCCACGTGCCTGCAATTGCTCCGTTGCTGGGAACGCGAACCCGGGGAGTATGGCGAGGCATTGCTCCGGGTTTGGCTGATGGACCATGCAGTGGCCGCGGAGCCTGCCGCTGATTCTCCCGACCGCCCCAGCGTTCTCTACGCAGGGAAGGATGTCGCCCTCTACGTGCAACTCTTTCTCTGGACCCCAACCCCCCAGATGGCTTTTTGAACTCGCGCATGCTTTGGGTAGTGCGGTTCGCATTGGGCGCTGGCATGGCCCTCCTTTCGGCTCGATCTCAACCAGAAGCGCTTCAGACCCACTCTTGCATCTCCCTTAGCCGCTCTTTTCCGACGTTCGACGCCTCCGACAGCAATGTGCGGGTGGAGTGGCCTAGACCCCCGGGTATCGACGACCGCCCCGTCGGCGGCCTTGACCACGTTTGCCTGGTGTGGTGGGGCACGCGGAAAGCCCGTTCTGAGGCGAAAGTTCGCTCGCCTTTTTTTCTGCAGGCGGACTGCGGTTCGATATCGTCCAGGGGGATGTTCCGTGGAGTCGCACTCATGAATGGGTTCAAGTCTTCTACAGCATTGACCATGAGCCCGTTGGGCGCCGAGGATCCGCGGTCGCGCCAGAGGCTGTTGCCATTGCGTGTGACATTCCTGCCGTGGACAGCAAGCGCATTTTGGAGCGGTCGTCCGCCACGGATTGCTGCGTCGAGCTCGTAAGGCTGGCCGATGAGGTGCTTGCTCCCCCTTCCTCTGCGGGCTCTGCCCCGCTGTCCATGGGATGGTTGCCCTCGATCCCGCCGTCTTTTCCTCCCACCGAGCCTGCCAGCGACTCTGCTGAGGAGGGCCTCAACTGGAACCCCGATGAAGGCCACTGACGGCCACGGGCTCCTGTCTTTCGAATACCCCGCCGCTGGAGCCCCCGCCCCGAGGCCCCCCTGCTTCCGACGCCGATGAATTCATGGCCGTCGATTCATTTCAGGGCGCGTGCCCAGGGATGCGGCGCCATGCTCCTGCCCCCCCAGCGACTGCCATTCTTCCAATTCAATTGTCCTCGCCCACCCTCGCCCCTCACCCCCCCCCTGCACTCGCCGAGCGCATCTGCGGCGCCTGCCGCCTCGACGCGCCTTGGTCCTTCGCCCTTTCTTCGGCATCCCGCTGCCGCCTCTCTTGTGTGCAGGCCCCCTCGGTGCTGCCTAGTCTCGCGCTGCCCGTGCCCTTGCCGCCTTCTGCGTCGATTCCTGCCCCCGCCGCTCTGCTGTTTTCGTTTCCGCGCAGGGCAGCGGGGTCTGCGGGAGATGGCGGAGGACGCGGTCGAGGGCCCCATTGGCCAGCATTTTGCGTTTGAGCGGAGCGCGACGTGCCAGCTCTCGGACCTCGGCGAGTCCTGGAATCCGTGGAGCACTTCGCTCCATGCGGTAGGCGGGCGGCGCTGGGACGGATGGCCCCCGAAGTTTTCTCCGTCCTCTCCCGCGACCTCTGGGGCTTCAGCCGACGTGGCGCTAGATGGGGGCTCCTGGAGATTTCTCCGCCTTCTCCCGCCTTCTTCCGCCTTTCTCCGGCGTGGCGATGGAGGGGGCCGCCCCGCGCCTCGGTCGGGGCAGGGGCGGAATTGGGTGCCGCGCCGTCCTCCTTGACGAAGCTGCCCAGGCGGGGGATGCAGTCTCTATGTGGCCCGTTCGCCATCGCCTCTTTGGGCAGCGCCTCCAATGTCCCCCTCGGCGACCACGCGCAGCTGCCGCCCACCTCTCGCCCAGAGGCCGCTACGGCACAAGGGGTCGAGATCTCCTTGCATGAGAGATCAGCCAACCTCGTGCTGCGCGACCCCGACATTGTCGCGGTCAGTGAGACGTCCTGCCGCATGCGCCACTGCATCCTTCGCTCTCCCTCGGCCCATTGCGGCGGCGTGTGTCGCTGTGGGCTCAGGGCAGGAGCTCCGCGCTTCGCGGCGGGCGTTTCTGGTTTCGCTCGGCCCATCAGGGGGCGCGTCTTTGGGGGCGACGTCCCTGGTGAGGACAGACCCCGCCGCTATCCGCGTGACCAGCAACCAGGCCCCCCTGCCCGCCTGGGCTGCCCCCGTTTGCGAAGACCGCGCCCCGTTCCCCCCTCCGGCCTCTGGGCGCGCGCTCGCTGTTCGACCTGCGCGCGCGCGCCGCTTCGACGGGCCCCTCGCGCCCCCCGACGGCGACGCCGTCCGCGGACTGACCCTGCGCGTGCTCTCCACTGAGTGCGCGCGAGGGGCCAGCTTCTGCAGCCCGGCCGAGGCCAGTGCTGTCTACGACCTCCTCGGCAGCCCGATGCCCCAGCTCCCGCCCGGCACCTGTCGCCGTCCTCGCCCCCTACCGCTGGCAGGTCGATGTCCTCCCAGGCGGGTTGCCAAGTCCCGCGCGGCGGCGACCCTGGCCCCGGCCCAACTCGGACCCCTGCGCCCTGCCGCCGGTCAAGCTGTTCCATTCGCGCGCCTCGCTCCGTCCCCGCGATTTTGGGGGCGTGCCCAAGTGTCCGGGTCTGCGCAATTTATCGGATGCAAGGGGGTGGAGCTGATCTGGTCACCGTCGCCTGAGTGCGTTCGAATGGCAACTTCGGGCGCCTCGACTACCTCCGCAGCTTCAACATTGCTCTGCCGCGTGCCAGTTGCGACTGCTTTGTCGTGTGGAATTCTGCCGTGGCTCAGTTCTGGTCCCTCGCTGAGTCTGCTGACC